TTTTTTGAAGGGTTTTTTGTGTCTCTATCTCCTTCAGTTCTGTTCTGATCTTAGTTATTTCTTGCCTTCTGCTAGCTTTTGAATTTGTTTGCTCTTGCTTCTCTGGTTCTTTTAATTGAGATATTAGGGTGCCGATTTTAGATCTTTCCTGCTTTCTCTTGTGGGAATTTACTGCTATAAATTTCCCTCTACACACTGCTTTAAATGTGTCCCAGAGATTCTGGTACATTGTGTCTTTATTCTCATTGGTTTCAACGAACATCTTAATTTCTGCCTTCATTTCATTATTTACCCAGTAATCATTCAGGAGCAGGTTGTTCTGTTTCCATGTAGTTGTGTGGTTTTGAGTGAATTTAATCCTGAGTTCTAATTTGATTGCACTGTGGTCTGAGAGACAGTTTGTTGTGATTTCTGCTTTTACATTTGCTAAGGAGTGCTTTACTTCCAAAAGTGTGGTCAATTTTGGAATAAGGGTGATGTGGTGCTGAGAAGAATGTGTATTCCATTCATTTGGGGTGGAGAGTTCTGTAGATGTCTATTAGGTCTGCTTGATGCAGAGCTGAGCTCAAGTCCTTGTTAACCTTCTGTCTCATTGATCTAATATTGACAGTGGGGTGTTAAAGTCTCCCATTATTTTTGTGTGGGAGTCTAAGTCTCTTTATAGGTCTCTAAGGACTTGCTTTATGAATCTGGTTGCTACTGTATTGGATGCATATATGTTTAGGATAGTTAGCTCTTCTTGTTGAATTGAATTGATCCCTTGACCATTACATAATGGCCTTCTTTGTCTCTTTTGATCTTTGTTGGTTTAAAGTCCGTTTTATCAGAGACTAGGATTGCAACCCCTGCTTTTTTTCTTTTTTCTTTTTCTTTTTTTTCTTTTTTTTTTTTCTTTTTTTTTTTTTTTTTTGCTTTCCATTTGCTTGGTAGATCTTCCTCCATCACTTTATTTTGAGCCTAAGTGCATCTCTGCATGTGAGATGGGTCTCCTGAATACAGCACACTGATGGATCTTGACTCTTTATCCAATTTGCCAGTCTGTGTCTTTTAATTGGGGCATTTAGCCCATTTGCATTTAAGGTTAGTATTGTTATGTGTGAATTTGATCCTGTTATTATGATGTTAGCTGGTTATTTTGCCCATTAGTTGATGCAGTTTCTTGCTAGCATTGATGGTGGTATGTTTTTACAGTGGCTGGGATCAGTTGTTCCTTTCCATGTTTAGTGCTTCCTTCAGGAGCTCTTGTAGGGCAGGCCTGGTGGTGACAAAATCTCTCAGCATTTGCTTGTCTGTAAAGGATTGTATTTCCCCTTCACTTATGAAACTTAGTTTGGCTGGATATGAAATTCTGAGTTGAAAATTCTTTTCTTTAAGAATGTTGAATATTGGCCCCCTCTGTCTTCTGGCTTGCAGAGTTTCTGCCAAGAGATCCACTGTTAGTCTGACAGGCTTCCCTTTGTGGGAAACCCGACCTTTCTCTCTAGATGCCCTTAACATTTTTTCCTTCATTTCAACCTTGATGAATCTGGCAATTATGTGTCTTGGGGTTGCTCTTTTCGAGAAGTATCTTTGTGGTGTTCTCTGTATTTCCTGAATTTGAATGTTGGCCTGCCTTGCTAGGTTGGGGAAGTTCTCCTGGATAATATCTCGAAGAGTGTTTTCCAACTTGGTTCCATTCTCCCTGTCATTTTCAGGCACACCAATCAAATGTAGATTTGGTCTTTTCACATAGTACCAAATTTCTTGGAGGCCTTGTTCATTTCTTTTTACTGTTTTTTCTCTAAACTTCTCCTCTCGCTTTATTTCATTAATTTGATCTTCAGTCACTGATACCCTTTCTTCCACTTGATCTAATTGGCTATTGAAACTTATGCATGTGTCACATAGTTCTTGTGTCATGGTTTTCAGTTCTATCAAGTTATTTAAGGTCTTCTCTACACTGCTTATTCTTGTTAGCCATTCGTCTAATCTTTTTTCAAGGTTTTTAGCTTCCTTGCAATGGGTTCAAACTTCCTCCTTTAGCTCAGAGAATTTTGTTATTACAGACCTTCTGAAGCCTACTTCTGTCAGCTCGTCAAAGTCGTTCTCCATCCAGCTTTGTTCCATTGCTGACGAGGAGCTGCGATCCTTTGGAGGAGAAGAGGTGCTCTGGGTTTTAGAATTTTTCAACTTTTCTACTCTGGTTTCTCCCCATCTTTGTGGTTTTATCTACCTTTGGTCTTTGATGCTGGTGACCTACAGATGGGGTTTTAGTGTGGATGTCCTTTTTGTTGATGTTGATGCTATTCCTTTCTGTTTGTTAGTTTTCCTTCTAAGAGTCAGGTCCCTCAGCTGCAGGTCTGTTGGAGTTTGCTAGAGGTTCACTCCAGACGCTGTTTGCCTGGGTATCACCAGCATAGGCTGCAGAACAGCAAATATTGCAGAACAGCAAATATTGCTGCCTGATTCTTCCTCTGGAAGCTTCATCCCAGCGGGGCACCCTCCTGTATGAGGTGTCAGTCGGTCCCTACTGGGAGGTGTCTCCCAGTTAGGCTATACGGGGGTCAGGGACCCACTTGAGGAGGCAGTCTTCTGTCCTTTCTCAGAGCTCAAACGCCATGCTGGGAGAACCACTGCTCTCTTCAGAGCTGTCAGACAGGGATGTTTAAGTCTGCAGAAGTTTCTGCTGCCTTTTGTTCAGCTATGCCCTGCCCCCAGAGTTGGGGTCTACAGAGGCAGCAGGCCTTGCAGAGCTGTGGTGGCTCCTCCCATTTCGAGCTTCCCTGGACACTTTGTTTACCTACTCAAGCCTTAGCAATGGCAGACGCCCCTCCCCCTACCAGGCTGCTGCATCACAGGTTGATCTCAGACTGCTGTGCTGGCAGTGAGCAAGGCTCCATGGGCTTGGGACCTGCCAAGCCAGGTGCGGGATATAATCTCCTGGTGTGCGGTTTGCTAAGACCGTTGGAAAAGCACAGTATTTGGGTGGGAGTGTCCTGATTTTCCAGGCACAGTCTGTCACAGCTTCCCTTGGCTAGGAAAGAGAAATCCCCTGACCTCTTGCACTTCCCCAGTGAGGTGATGCCCCACCCTGCTTTGGCTCGCCCTCCATGGGGTGCATCCACTGTCCAACCAATCCTAATTAGATGGACCAGGTACCTCAGTTGGAAATGCAGAAATCACCATCTTCTGCGTCAATCACACTGGGAGCTGCCGACCGGAGCTGTCCCTATTCAGCCATCTTGGAACAGAATCTCTCATTTTCACTAATTTAAAAGTAAATGTCTATGTGGCAAGTGGCTAGCATAACAGACAGCATAGGCCAAACCATTACCCACTTGTTTCTGTTTTCATAGCATATCACTGTCTGAAATTATCTTTCTCAACTGTTTACAAATTTACAGTTTGTCTTCCCCCATCAGAATGTAGGTTCTGGGACTGGGCATGGTGCCTCACACCTGTAATCCCAACACTTTGGGAGGCCAAGGCAGGCAGATCACCTGAGGACAGGAGTTCAAGACCAACCTGGCCAACATGGTAAAACCCCGTCTCTACTAAAAATATAAAAAAATTAGCCGGGCGCATGGTGCACACCTGTAATACCAACTACTCAGGAGGCTGATGCAGGAGAATCACTTGAACCTGGGAGATGGAAGTTGTGGTGAGCTGAGATTGCGCCACTGCACTCTAGCCTGGGCGACAGAGCAAGACTCTGTCTCAAAAAAAAAAAAAAAAAAGGAATGTAGGTTCTACAGGGGAAGGGGCTTGTTTTTTCACTGCTATAATTCCAGCTCCAAAACACACAGTAGGAAGGTAATAAATGGTAAATGAATAGTAGGAGAAAAGACAGACTTTGTAGGCTATTATCTTTACTTTTGTAGTTTGGTTAGATCTTGTATCATACAGCTGTTGCCAAATACACTATGTAACAAAAACAACCCAGAACTCGATAACTTCAAAGAAACATCTTTTAATGGTACAGGTGTCTGGGTTACTTTAGGGTTACCTAATGCCCAGCAGACCCCCCAGGCTGGCTCAGCTGCGACCACTTGCACATGTGCAGCTGCCTGGGGGTGGCTAATGAGGTTTGGCGGGACTGGCCCTGCTCCAAAGACCAGCAGCAGGCCTGGGCGTGATGTCCCCAGGGCAATGGCCAAAACATAAGAGGCAGACAGAGCCCTCAAGGCCTCTCAAAGCTTAGGCTTGGAACTGAAACGCCATCACTTCTGCCTCATTCTACTAGCCCATGCGAGTCCACAGCTGAGCCCAAAGTCACAGGGCCCTGCAAAATCACATGATAACTGGTGTGGGCACAGGCAGGAAAGAGGAATTGGGGGCCTTCATGCAATCTACCATTTGGCTTTTTAGTTACTGGGATGGAAACTCAGTCTGACTAGCTCAAGAAAATGATAGATCATTGTAAAGATGTGTGGAGGAGGGAATCTCAGGGGAAGCCGAGGACAGGGGCTGGGCTGGGAACCCCAGGGACTAGAGAGCAGGTGTCAGGCTTAGACAGTTCTGGGAACCTCTGCAATTAGAACTCTTTCCAATATGTCTGGGGGTTTCCCAGTCTCTCTTCCAACTGGCTTCTCTACCCTCTCATCTCCATACCTTTCCTCTTACCTTCTGCCCCTCCTAACTTGGGCTTGAATGTAGCTGATGTGGCCTATCCAACTCCAGGTACTTCCGGGTTCTTCTGGTCTAGGTCTTTTGGCTGTCTCCACATGCTCTCCAAATTTCTTGGTTGTGATGGGTTCACACAACTTCTCACACCAGGACCCATCCTAAATTGCTGCCCAGACCACAGATTGGCTCCTCTTAAATTCAGGTTCCTAGCTCTGAGCCAATAAGCTATGGCTGCAGGACGATGTAGAACCAAATGTCCCTGAGAATAAGGCAAGCCTCATGGTGGACATGCCCTGCAGTCGTGAGCAGCAGAGCAAACGAAGTGCCAGTGCCTGCATATCCCGGATCCCAAAGGCTGAGAGAGTGGTGAAGTACAGGGCCTGGTATCTGTGATTATTGTGTTTGTCTTGCTCCTCTTCGTTTCGGAAACTGTCCTTCCCTGATTCCTTGGTAATTCAGGGGCAGGGGGGCTGTCAAACATGGTTCCCATTCCCCTCTCTTCCCCAGCTCTCTAGGGAGTCTGAATCCCAAGCCAGAACACCTAGGGTGGAGCTGCTCGAGTCGAGTCCTTCAGAGAGCCATGGGCTCGGAACACCGCACTGGACCCCTCCTGTGGAGATCCTGACCCCTCACTTCTGTCTTTTGCAAAGCCTGGTTGTTTTCCCTCCCAGCACCCTTTCAACAAATCTGCATTTTTTATTCAAGTGGGGATAGAGTGGTTCTTGTTACTTGGAAGCAAAGAACCCTAAGCAATATTATGTGCATGCTCAGGACAGAGTTCCCTCAGAAGGAAAGAGGCAAAGGATGGAGACAGAAATCACGTTTTCAACTGTCCTATTTCTGTATTAGGATGCATGGATTACAAATTCTCCCCATCTACCAGGGTTGCATTAGGGTCACTTAGGTAGGAAAGAAACATACCAAGACAGATGAGGCTCACCCAAACTCTTGCTTCGTAACTTTGACTTGGGCCAGCATCTGGAGGCAGCGTTTAAAAAGCTGAGGAGGGCATTGTGTGCCTCCAAAGTTACCCTGAGAAAGGCATAAGAATGCATCACCTTGAGCTAATTAAAAAAAATCAGACAACAAAAATGAGCAATGTTATATTCAAAAGTGGTGGTGGGTGGGGGAGTTCTCTTTTAAAATATCAATATCATAGAAGACAAAGAAAGGCTATAGAAATGTTTCAGATTGAAGGCCGCTAAAGAGATGTAAATTTAATGCAATGCCTGGCCTTAGGTTGGATCTTGTACTGGAGGGCAAAAAAAAGAAAATATTGTAAAACCTAGTATTAGGTCAACCGATGAAACTGGAACATGGGCAATCCGTTAAAGTCTTGTATCAATGCACATTTATGCGCTTATGTAAAAGAAGAGCCTTTTTCTTACAAAATACAAATTCAAGTATTTAGGGAGAAAAGGCCATAATATAAGCAACTACTCTCAAATGGCTCAGAAACAAATTGTAGATAGATAGACAGACAGACAGATACAAGCAGACAGAGATAGAAAGTGATCAAATAGGGTGACATGTCAATAGGTGAATCTAAGTAAAAGGTGTGTGGCATTCTCTATACTATTTTTATTTTTGCAACTTTTGGTACATTGGAAATCAGTTCCAATACACATTTAAAGGAAAAGGCTGGTGAGATGTTTATAGAATGGCTTCACTGGATTAAAATGTAACTAGCTTTTAATATTTTTATTTTGTTTTCCATGTAAGTCACTGATCCAGGCATGCACACACACACACACAGTATCATTGATGAAACGGCAGCTGATTTTATTGATCTTGTTACAGTGTTCTCTGAGTACCTTCTAACCACATGCCAGGCATTTTCATATATCATTCAAGGCTTACAGCAATCCGAGGGCTGATGATGATCATCTCCATCTTGCATGTGAGCAGGAGGCCCTGCTTTGGTACACGCTGCTGTCATACCATGGTTCAGGTGTGCGCTGGTCAATACGTGCCCACAGCCCAAGGAAAGTAACAATCAGAAACACTTCTTCCCTGAAATGTCTGGGAGGCCCTAGGAACCCAAGGCAGAGAGGCAGCCCTGCCCTGAAACTGGGAAGCAGAGCCCAGCAGAGAGAGGGACAGGCTCCAGGGCCGTCCTGGCCTCCGACACTGGGGTGTGCACACACTATGGCTCAGGGAGCAGCTACAGGCCGTGGCATACCACTGCAGGCCACGGTGGCTGAAGCAGGCCCTGTGGACTTTCCAGACACTTCTCAGAACTCAGTGAGTCCAGAGGGGAGAGGTGGAAAAGGACAGGCAGGTACTACTAGATGGTACAGAGACGGCTATATCAATGACCCCTCCACCACAGTGCAGCTTCCGCCCAGACACAGGACTGCGACATGATCTGCGGGGGGCAGTGCAAAATGAGCACGCAGGGCCACTTGTTTTAAAAATCTTAAGAATTTCAAGGTCAGGCGCAGTGGCTCACGCCTGTAATCCCAGCACTTTGGGAGGCTGAGGCGGGCGGATCACCTGAGGTCAGGAGTTCAAGACTAGCCTGGCCAATGTAGTGAAACCCTGTCTCTACTAAAAATACAAAAATTAGGCGGGCATGGTGGTACGCACCTGTAGTCCCAGTTACTCAGAAGGCTGAGGCAGGAGAATCGCTTGAACCCGGGAGGTGAAGGTTGCAGTGAGCTGAGATCGTGCCACTGCACTCCAGCCTGGCGACAGAGCAAGACTCCGTCTCAAAAAAAAAAAAAAAATTCAGGATGGTAATATCTGAACACTGAAGTGCAGGGCCCTTCTGAGCACAGTGCCTTACGTAACTGCACAGGGAGCAGGCCCCTAAAGCAGACCCTGACCAGACACTGCTGGGAACTTTATATATGCTATTCCTCATCTCACAAAGCCCTTTGAGGGGGACACTTTTATCTCGATTGAATAGATGAGGACGCTGAGCCCCAAGGTGATTAAGTGAACAAGGCCCAGCTGCCAGAGCTCAGTAACAAATGAATGGATAAATGAGTAGATGAATGAACGAAAGCGGCAGATAGCCCTAACTTCAAAGCCAGTGTTCTGTTCACTCTACAAGTTCACATGAGGGACACCCCTGAGAACTCTAGAAGGTAAGCTGGGCTACAATCAGTGGAATGGGTCTGGCAGTTTTTTCTGATATTGCTTTGTCCAGGCTGGCACAGCTCTGGGAAACCACAGAAACTCTGCCCTGCCATCCTGCGCAGATGGCACAGGCAGCGAGTGGCAGAACCTGGATTCGTGCAGGACCCCCTCAGCTGATTCCCTGCCCTTCCCATGAAGTCAAGGCTGCCAGGGCCCTGGACGCCCTTACCTAAGCGCTCGCCATCCGGGGCCTCTGGACGCCCTTACATAAGCGCTCGCCATTCGAAGGACCCATCTGTTGTTAATCAAAAGTTAATTTACTGTGAGCTAGAACTCATTTACAAGCCTGTAGCACGTGCTGTTACATACCTGAAACTGTGGGAAATTTTCATCTTAAAGTGTGGATTTGGTATCTACAAGAGCCAAGAGTACTGTGTGTCAAGTTGCATAAGGTAGAGACTAATGTCTGGGTTTACTTGGGTTTTTTCTGTTGAAGAAGAGAGCAGCACCGAACACGGGGTTCATGCCTGTAATCCTAGCACTCTGGGAGGCTGAGGCAGGTGGATTGCTTGAGCCGAGGAGTTTGAGATCAGCCTGGCCAACATGGCAAAACCCTATCTCTACTAAAAATACGAAAATTAGCCAGGTGTAATGGTGCACGCCTGTAATTCCAGTTACTCAGGAGGCTGAGGCAAGAGAATCACTTGAACCTGGTAGGCAGAGGCTATAGTAAGCCGAGATCATGCCACTGCAATCCAGCCCAGGCGACAAAGAGAGACTCTGTCTAAAAAAGAAAAAAAAAGAAAGCAAACTGGCAATGAAGTGAAGTAATAGCAACAAACTAGGGCAATAAAGTCATCAAAACTTATTATTCCAAAAAGATATTCTAAAAATCTGAGAAAAGCACATAGTTATAAAACGTACATCACCTTCCAAAGTAAAGAACTATTCCTCTAAAAGGAAATCTGTTTGGCCATAACATTTATAACATTCATTCTAAGAAGGCAGCCTCATTGAATCAGTAATCAAAAGCCTCACAACAATGAAAAACCCAGGCTTAGATGGCATCACTGGTGAATTCTACCAAACATTTAAGGAATTTACACCAACCCTCCTCAAACTCTTCCACAAAATTGAAGAGGAGGGAACTCTTCCTAGCTCATTCTATGAAGCTAGCATGATACTGAAGTCAGACAAAGACATTATAAGGAAAGAAAACTACAGACCAATATATCTGATGAATATCAGTGCAACAAGCCTCATTAAAATACTAGCAAACAGAATTCAACAGCACATTAAAAGGATTATACCCCATGACCAAATGGGATTTATTCTTGGAATGCAAGAATGGTTCAACATACAAAAATCAATCACTGTAACACACCACATTAACAGAATGAAGGAAAACAACCCTGACTATCTCAATTGACAGATAAAAGGCAGTTGCTAAAATTCAACATACTTTCATGATAAAAACACTCAATAAACTAGGATTAGAAGGAAACCACCTCAGTATAATGAGGGTTGTACATAAACAGACAACTAACATCATACCCAATGGTGAAAGACAAAGTTTTTCCTCTAAGATTAGAAATGAGGCAAAAATGCTCGTTTTGCCACTTTTATTCAACATAGCACTGGAAGTCCTACACAGAACAATTAAACAAGAAAAAGAAATGAAGGCATCCAAATTGGAAAGGAAGAAGTAAAATTGTTTCCATTTGCAGATGATAAGATTACACACACAGACGGATACACACACAAATACATAAACAAATCCTGTTAGAACTAATCAATGAGTTCAGCAAAGTTGCAGGATACCAAATCGACCCACAAAATCAGTTGTGTTTCTTACACTAAAAATGAAGAATCCAAAAGAGAAATTAAGAAAACAATTCCATTTACAATAGCATAAAAAGAATAAACTTAACCAAGGAGGCAAAAGACTTGTACACTGGAAACTACAAAATGTTGCTGAAAAAAATTAAAGACAACTAAATGGAAATACATCCTGTGCTCATGAATTTGGAAGACATAATAGTTAAGGTGTTCATGCTACCCAATGTGACCTAATTAATGCAATTCATACCAAAATCCTAATGGCAGTTTTTGCAGAGGAAAACTCCACCTTAAAACTCATATGGAATCTAAAGGGATGCTGAATAGTCACAACAGTCTTGGAAAAGAAGACCAAAGTTGGAAAACTCACACTTCCTGATTTCAAAACATACTACAGAAAGCAAAACAGTGTGGTGCTGGTATAAAGACAGATATATAGACCAGTGTAATAGAATAGAGAGCCCAGAAGTAAAATGTCAAATGATTTTTGAAAAAGGTGCCAAGACCAATCAATGGGGAAAGGACAGTCTCTTCAACAAATGGTGCTGTGAAAATTGGATATGCAATGCAAAAGAATGAAGTTGGACCCTTACCCTGTACCATACACAAAAATCAACTCAAAATAAACCGAAGACCTAAATATGGAGGGTAAAACTGTAAAATGCTTAGAAGAAAACATAGGGGAAAAGCCTCATGACATTGGATTTGGCAATGACTTCTTGGATTTGACACCAAAAGCACAGGTAACAAAAGTAAAAATAGATAAATTGGACGACATCAAAATTTAAAATTTCTGTGACTCAAAGGACATAATTAACTGAGTGAAAGGCAACCTACAGGAGAGAAAATATTTGTAGATCATGTATGTGATAAGGGATTAATATCCAGAATATATAAAGAATTACTACAATACAACAACAACAGCAGGAAGAAAAATCAATAACCCAATTTAAAAATAGGCAAAGGACGTGAATAGACATTCCTCCAAAGAGGATGTAAAAGTGGCCAAAAAGCATATGAAAAGATGCTCAACATCACGAATCATTATGGAAACACAAATCAAAACCATAATGAGATATCATCTCACATCTATTAGGATGGCTACTATT